CATAAAATGTTCTTTGAGGAGAGAGACATTGTAAAACCTCTGAAAATTTCTACTACTTAAGCCTACTCACATCTATTTTTTTTTGCCTCTGGCTCCAATATATAATATTTATTCTTTGACTCTTCATTAGACCCATACTCTTATTATTATTTTTTTAGTGTCAACAAAGCAATAAAGAAAACTTTCCTTCTTTTATTCCAGGACTCAAACCAAAATACAGAAATACCTCTGGCACTAAGTTTACACAAATCAATGTTGTTACTATGTTCCTTTCAGCGTGTCCACGTGTTTGACAGTATTTCAGATGGTATTAATAGTCTACCTGCAAGAAAGCATTTTCTGCCAGCCTGGTGCAAATTGCCAGAACCTGTAATCCACTCTTCCTCAACTTTGTCGCAGTATATCATTAGCTGAGGCTGGACCTAGAAATCACTACTGTCAATGCCTGAATTGCTCTTTTACTTTCCATGGGTTTAGAAACCCACTTGGTTTTGGAAATGGGATTAGCTGAGTATATTTCAGAAGACACGACATATAAAAAGCAGCACCGACGGATTTAGGAGATATTTTTTATGCTTTCTTTTCTGTGATCAGTTGATCTTTGAATGACAAACTTTGTGGGGACACATGGAACAATATCATCTTTTCTTTTGAATGGGGATCTGATAAAATTCTGAGAGGATGGAAGCATACTGTGGAACCAATGTGCTCTCTTCACTCCATCAGGAAAGAGTTAAATCGTATCAATGAGAGTAGTTTAAATAAATGGAATGGTTTTCGGGTCCTAACCTTTGCATATGCTCTATTTATTAACCTACGCCAAACCCATGGTGAACTGGGAAATGGGGAAACTGAGGCTAAGTGACTTGCACAAGGTCACACAGCTAATAAATGATAAAGTCAGAACTCAAAGCCAAGAGTGTCTCTAAAGCCCATGGTCTTAGCTCCTATGCTATATTGATTATGTTTTAGAGAAAACTTAGTATAACGTCTAATGAATGGAATTTATGCTTGGACAAATGGAGTGTACAAACGCTGTTATAAAACTTATTTTCTGTGTTATACAAGAGTTCTCTCTCAGTTCTTCCATTGAAAGAATTTTCCCTCTTTGGGACTGCCAACAAATTACAGATTTTCTTTTGGGACCAAAAGGAGATACTGATGTATTAAGAACTATTCAAGGATATACTTGATTTTCTTGCCTTATCTTCTTATGTTCTTTTTTCATTTTATCCCTAGTGGATTCCCCCAAGTGCAAGAAACATGATTTTTTTTCCTGTATAACTGTGGGAGCTATGTGTATGAACCAGTTGGGCCTTAATAATCTCACCTCCGAGTAGTCTGTCTGCTCTTCACAATTCTTGTAATTCAACAGTGCATGTTATATATGTCTCCAGGAGTTGAAATACATGATAATAGAATCAATAGCACAAGTGCAAATAACCATAGGAGGCCAATGGTATAATAATATCAATGATCAAACTTAGATGGGGATATACACACATTTATTTTAAGTAGAATAAAATGTGACTAATATCGTTTCTAAAATTCAGTCCCATATAGGTGAATGTCAGATCCACACAAGTAATTTAAGAACTATATATTTGGAGATCTCTTTGCGCAACTTAAAGATTTCTCAGAATGCTTGAGAACTGAACCCATTGCATTTTTTTTGGTCTAATTAGTAAATCACACATGCCTCTTCTTAATGACTTTATGACATTACTATTCACAAGGCCCTCCTTTCGTGAGGATAGTGTCACTTTCTCTTGAAGAATTGTCTTCACTCTTTGTTAAATTTTCACATCGGTTGCTATATGATGTGTACAACTGAATGTTATTAAAGATTTAATATGAATGTATATGAATTTGATGAGGCTTGCTCAGTTTTTGGAGTAGTTCCCACATATGACTTCTTATAGTTAGAAGGTTATTTATTTGCTCATCAATCAGTCTAGCAAATGGGGCTGGGGGCAAATGAACTCATTCTTATGCACATGTTTCTAAAACAGTTCTTTCTAATGTTTGAGATAAATTAAAATAAAAACCAACAAGAACATGAAAAGAGACTAAGAACAATGTTAATGTGGCAATTTAAACCAATTTGGTTTTCCAAATGACCTTCCATCTTTCACGGCTTTTAACGGTATGCAAGATGGCTATCCTTAGTGACAGATACTATCAATCTGGTGTGAAAAACTTAAAACTCTTTTCTAAATGTCTTTAAAGCTGAGGTGGAGAAGAACAACTCTCTCTCTCTTTCACTTTTTGAAGGGTATAATGTTGAATTGTGGCTATGCCGTCCTCCCACATATCATTTATTGATTGCCTAACATTTTTCCTTTTTCTAAGCCTATCCTGTGTCCCCAAATAATGTCTCATGGAGCTTTATTTTTAGAAGAGAGTGGATAGAGAGGAGGAGATGCATAGGAGGAGCAAGTGCCCTATGTATTTGGAGGAAGTAAATCAATGCAGCTTCTTAATTCATTAACTTGGTGCATATAGAACTCTGATAATTTGAAACTTTGGTTCCTTATTCTTTTTCTCTGAATGTTACTAAGCATATTTAGCTCTGTATTTGCTATTGACTTCACTAATCCACTGCAGAGTAAGTAGAACAAAGATCATTAATATAGTTAATGTTGTAGCCAGCAATGACAGTTACAGAAAACCCAAATTAATGGAATACATTCGAGGTGAATCTGGCACACCCATTTGCCATTTCTGAGTATATTATTCTGTCATGACTAATACTTGAGAGAAGTCAAAGCTTATGAAGACAGCATCCCTTGGGATGATTATTTGCTTCAGGGTAGGATCATAAGTTATAGATATATATTCTTTACCAAAAAAAAGTGCTCCTTTTCTATGAAGACATGAAACTTTTGCCCTGTCTGGTGTAGCTCAATGGATTGAGCACAGGCCTGTGAAGCAAAGGGTCACCGGTTCAATTCCCAGTCAGAGCACATGCCTGGGTTGCAGGCCAGGTCTCCAGTAGAGGACACATGAGAGGCAACCACACACTGATGTTTCTTTCCCACTCCTTCTCCTTTCTTTCGCCTCTCTCTAAAAATAAATAAATAAAATGAAATAAAAAAAGAAACTTTACCTATGGTTTAATGGATTATTTTGGATTAACAGTCTGCTGTGTACTCAGGTCTACTATAGAGGATCATCATAATGATCTATCTCTAATCAGTAGCTCTGTTAAAAAATACAACTAACTTCTTTCACTATGGGCTTACTGAAACACCAAAAAATTAAATTGCCTTTTTATTTTTTCTTAGTGTGCACCTCTTTTTTGTGTGTGTGAAAAATAATACTTTGAGGAAAAATTTTAAATTATACATTTTAATTTAATATTGTTTATTATTCTATCCATTTGTTGCATATTATCCTTTGATATGTCAACATATTATGCTTTTTACCACCATTTAGGGTCCCATAATGGAGGCTGGAAACAGAACTATACTTGCCTCTCCCCTGAATTTTAGTAATTGTTTTATTCCTGGGAGAATAATGGATCAGCTTCACAGAATAATTTATTCAGAGGAGAAATGAATGGGGAACCTTGCAGACATGTCTGAACATTGCCACCCTTCTCTCATCCTGCCCCTCATGGAAGGCAGGTGTGTGTTTCCTCACATGTGGAATCTGCCAGTAATAACTTCTATGTAGAAGTGGCCCTAAGACTGAAATGCTACGGCAAGCATCTGTGTACTTGGCCTGATGATATACTGAATTCTAATGTTCTTTCTGGCTTTTAAGACATTTTTTGTAAAGGGTTTCTAAGCCACCTGTTTGGAGATTTTGATTTCACTTTTGATGTTGGTAATTTAGAATGGGATCCTCTAAGTGCTAATATAGGGCTGTGAGTCAAAAGTAATGAATTAGAACTCACTAGTTTCTGCTTGGTAACTCTGAGGTTGGTTGATGAGAAATGACAGTTCCCAAAGCACAGTTTCATTATTTTGTGATTTGAAGCATATTCCTTAGGGGTGTATTTCCACACCACCATTCTCCAGTTCTGTTCTAATTATAGAAACCATCCGGGGTTGGTAACAGTTATGAAATGAAGAAGAGGGCATACCAGCAGTTAAATGCATTATGTTTGAAGTTTGAAGCTAATTAGATATTTCATGCATGGGAGAAGTGTCCCTGACAGGCTTTATGAATGGATGCTTGTTCAGGAAGGGCCTTTCACAGGAACATAAGAGAGAAAGAGAGAAAGATAAAGGTAAATATATAAAGCCTATATTTATTAGTAATAATAAAGCATAGGCGCCCCAAATCTGTAGATGCTATTTATAGATATGTACAAATATGGACAACAGGGTAGAGGCATCAAGAACCATGTGTAATGCTTTACCTATTTAACATAGGTGATGGGAAGCTGGGACCTCCTTCATGGAATAAGGAGTCTTCCTTGATCATCAAAGCTGAAACTGTCTACTGTGACTCCCCTGTGCTAGAAGGTAGAACAGCTGCAGACACTTGAGTGTAGAATAAGGGATACATGGCCAGCTGCAGACACTTGAGTGTAGAATAAGGGATACATGGCCCGTGCGTCTGATATCCCTTACCAGACTCCAGCATGCATGACTGAGACACTGAGGGTCCCTTCCCTCATTACAAAGTGGATCTGGCAGGTGAAGTACTCAGAGCTCAGGGAGATCCTCAGGTCTCCGTTGGTCCAATTAAGATGTACCTGGGGTGAGGTGGAAAAGGGTGAAGGTAACCCATTTCTGTAAATGGCCAAACCCCTTTCTGAATCCCGTCCCATGCCACATTTTCAACGCATAATGGAGCACTGCATAGCCACGACCAGCTTGACCTCAAACCTGTCAATCAAGGTCAGAGTGACTTCAACTCCACCTCTACTAAAGATAAATTGATATTTATCTCTAAAAACTTCATAAAACAAACCAACAAAATAGGATGTTTTTAATGACTTATTGACTTTGCAGATTGTTCTTTAAGCTGTTTTTTAAACTTTAAAGGCAACACTGATAATGAACGCTTCCAAATGGTAAAACAGAAAATCCCCTTCAAATATAACCGGCCCGTAGAGGAGTGGCTGCAGGAAAAAGGTAACCGTCATTAAAACTTTCATTTTAAATTCATTTGATTCTAAACCCTCATTTTTAAAGCCTGCAAATAAATGTTCCTTAAATGATAATCGCCTGCTGCATAAATGACTGTTTTAATTTTCATTATAATTTGTGTCAGCTTCCACCTGCCATATGTTGATAAATCATGCTATAATACATTGCCATTAAAATACAGTTAAAGGGACTAACATCTCGTTTGCTATCAGCATGACAACCACAAACAAAAAACTCCAGGAACCTCTAAAAAAAGAAATGTATTATTGCAAGTTAACCACTGCATGACATTCTTTGTTAATTTATTTTAAATTACCTCTTATACCAAAGCTTTCTAAAGAAATTTCAAAAGTACTTTTTAAACTACATCTTGAGGCTATTTTGGCTATACTACCCACAGTATGGTTTGCACACACACACACACACACACACACACACACACACACACACACATATCATAGACTCTTGTAACTTAAACTGTTTAAAACAAATGTTATAAGGAGGGCAATTTTTAAAATATTTGTTTATAAACAAAGAAAAGAAGAAAGATGAGTTTTGCCTTTAGATTCCAACTTACAGAGGCAGAAGTATTTCATAAGAGGTTAATTGTGCCCTGATTACTGACCAGAACTAAACACAGAAACAAACCTATTTTACACTTTGGTAGTGTGATACCCTTGTATATTTGATATTTATGCAACAAACCTGTAAGTGGTTAAGACAATGAATTTGGAAATGAAAGGCTCATGAGAGGTAAAACAGCAATTCTCATCTGCTGAAGAAAACAACCACTTGGCTAGTAAAAGAGGGCTGTGGTTATACCTGATGTTAGAATTTTCTGTGTGGCTCTTATGTATTGGGGTGTAAACTATAGCCATTCATGAAGAAAAGTTTCTATCTTTAAGAAGCTATTTATTCTGTTCTTGTCTGAGCCAGTATACACTTCTCTTATCTCAAGACCTTAAGTGAGTTTTTAAAATACATAGGGATTCCATTGAGTTATATATAATAAGTAATTGGGTACATTAGTATACAACTTAAAAAAAAAAACAAAGAACCACTACAGTTTTAAAGGGTGAAAACAGTCACACCTTTAAACACAGAAAATCCTTGCTGAGTTTTAACTGTTTGTCCTGTTTTAACATATGTGGTCTAATTAAAACTAAATTAAGAATAACTCTAAAAAGCAAATAATTTTGTCTAGTAATCACCAGCTTATAAAGTCCCTTTAACATTTAAATATGATATTGCCTCACTTTTTAAAAAGGAAATGAAAATTAGATGCATGTCTGAGTCTCATGTGCCTGAGAGAATTTTTTTGTTTCTTTCAATTTTATGTTAATAATATTTTATTTTACTTCATTGCCTTTTGAAGTCTCAGTTTAATAGCATGCCAGGCATTTTCATTTGTATAAACCATTATAAAGTTATTAGTAGGCTTTTAGTTTTCCTTACAATAGCGTTGTTATCAGTTGGTTTTCATATAAAAGGATGCTTTCAAGTACAACAAAATTGTGGGGCTGGGACAGGGATGGGGAGGTTCAGGTGGAATGGAGAGAAGCATTCTCATTTCTTAATCAAATATGTACATGTTTAGATATGTGCATGTGATATTGAAATGAATTATTTGCAAACTGGAGTGTTTTCTCCTCTACATTATTTTAACTGAAATTACATTTTTTTGTAATCTGGGTGAGTAACATCTATTCATTCTATTGCTTTACCCCTTCCTCTGTCTAGCTAATTCTTCCTTCAAAAGAAATGGAAGATACATACCAAAGCAAAACAAAACAAACCTTGTAAAGATAATGAGTAAATAGGATAATGACAGAAGGGTGACTAGGCAGATGTGTTAGGAAGTACTTGAAATGCCTCTTTGGAGTGATTTCTGTCATTGGGGAAGAGGTCTGGGGCACTGCATTCCCCAGTCTGTCTTATGGCTCTGTCTACTATTGACTTACTTCCTGACCTTAGACAATCCACTTAACCTTTCTATATCTCAGATTTCCCATCAGAAGAGAGGATAAATAACACTGCCTGTCCCCCAAGGGTATTCTGAGGTTTAATTAATTAGCCTTTGTGCAGCACTGACTGGAGACATGCAAAGATTTCACTTAAGCAGTAGGTGAACTTGATGTCTAGATGAGGTAATAATTAATGAGTTCCAAGAGGATGGGCACCCAAAACAAAACAAAAAGTAACCTGCTATAAGTTCTGTACTTGTATTATAACCACTTTTTATGATTGATAATAGAACAATTCTCAAATTGGTATATAAATATCATGATCACACATACACACACAAATGATTGATCATAATCTGACAATAATGAGGCTGGCTCTGATTTGGAGAAAGCCTGGGCAAATGATAAGACTTTCTCATCAGTCCTACTCTCCTTCAGAGTTAGAGGGTAATGATGGTTCTTTCTTGCTTGTTCACTTACTCCTGCTTAGCTGAAAAAGATAAATTGATTACAGGAAGATGGCAGGAAACTGAGATTACCCCACTATCACTTCAGTGATGACCAGTCTTATGATTAACCACCTAATCCAAGGCTAGGAAAGGGACTTGAAATAGAATAAAAGCATATCTAGCAAGTAATAGACCATCAAAGAGAGGAGCAAACAAAACTTCAAATATTTCCTATGGCATGATGGAGAATTGAAACATAGACATCCTCTTCCCTGTCTTACCCAACCAGCGTCTTAATCTCAAGAACTGATTAGTCAGATCTTTGAGAGAAAGCAGCTATAGTCTGAAGTGGAGCAGTGGCTCAATCTTTCAGCCCAGGAAATGTCTTTCCTTTCTCCATGCTTGGGTCAGTTTTGAAGAAACTAAAGCCACTATAGGGAATGAACTATGACAACTGGAATAAAAGGGATATGTAATTTCTAGCCAGTGTAATTCAGGCTGCATTTCAATTCCCCTTGACCCTCTTTTTATTTTTAAGCATTGGCAGAATAATATCACCAGGAAAGTAAATGGGGCCATTATGGATGTGAAATACTTCCAGGAATATTAGAAATAGTATCATGATCTAACTATAATCAGAGTCATTAATTGACAATCCTAAGTACTGTACTATATGAAAAAAAAGGAGATGAATAAACATTACGGCTGGCGAACAGTTGTATGAATGAAAGCTGTAGCTTGGTGTTGGGGCTGAGTTCAGGTACTAAACTTTAGTCCTAGAAACCTCCTATTATGCAGCTTGTTCTTATTTATTAACTTAAGCTGCCCCAAATGCCTATGTGAGGTTGAAGGCATATTTATTCTGCTTTTCCATTATGGCATTTCTTTTGTAGTAAGCTTAGGGCTGTCAGGAAAAGTTGTCAAAAATAAATAAATAAACAGTAAAGATATGAGCTCCAGTGCTATTGTGCTTTGAACTTTCTGCCAAGCATTGTATGAGAAATGAGAGGCCAAAGGATAGCAAATGATCTATATACACAGGGCACTGAAAGAATTGGTGGGGAAATGATGGAAATCTATTAGATCTACTTTGATTGCAGCCTTAGGATCTGGGAAACTGTTACCATTAAGGCCAAGAGATGCCATTTCCATGCTCCAGATATTTTTATAGAGTGCAGATCCTTTTCACTATAACAAAATCTCTGGCCAATTCCCCACACTGCAGCACTCAAAGATTCCCAAGGCATATTATTTATAAAGTGTATTGACAGATATGCCCTTAAGAGTTACCCAATGAGTAGAGTTGACTCTTGTATAAAGAGTTCCCTCTGAGCAGATATGTTTTCCTTTTCCTGCCTCTTTCATTTCATTCATTATTGTACATTGAGAAGGTATTCCACGTTGTCCGCCAGAAATGCAAGGATAGAGTTAATCAGAATATATAGACTTAAAAGACCATGTAACAACATTAGAGGTTAAGAGCCCAAATACCACAGTTTGCCTCTATTCATAATAGAGATTGTGGGGCAAAGGTAATCTTTTAAAAATATACTCCCTTTTATTAAGCAGGTGAGAATAACAGAACATTGAATGTTTCCAGTCATTTATAGCTAAAATATTTCAGAGAATTAGATGAAGAATGAGTGGAACATTGTTTGATCATTGAATAAAATGTAGAAAAATTTGAAAAGGGTATATTTAATTCCATTAGTCAGTTTCCCCCTTCTCTATATAGAAAAGCAGAAGGAAATAATCTGGAGAAATAATAGCATAGAAGGCTTACAAAGCTATTTAGTTTTCTTCTGGGAAAAATCTAGATATAATTGGGAAGAAGATAATTTGAGTTACATGATTCTAAACTCTATTCTGCCATGATTTCATTCTGAGAATTTTCTATTCACAAAAGTATAAATGATTTTTCAAGTAAGGTGAGCTCCTGATATTCCACAACCCATTGACATATCTCAATATCATTTTAACAAGTTTTATGTATTGCTTATTTTTACTAATACCTAGCCCCCCTTTTAAAATACACTGATTTTGAATGACTCCCTCTTCTCCCCCCCACTCCAGGAACATTATCAATGCCTACTTATTTTTCATATTTTAGGGAGAGATTTTGTTATGTAACTATAATCTCCTCACCTCAACATTGAGATAAGAATTTATTTGCCATGATGTTAATTAAACAACAAGTATAGATATAATATTATGTACTATAAAGACTCCTAGAAAATATAGTGTTTGGTTACTAAATATTCATTTTTGTAAGTATGCAATGAATCCAAATCTCTTGATTGGAATTTAATTTAATTTCAGTTAATTTAATATAATCATCAGACCTGGTTTTTAAACCCAGTGTTCTGAGTGCCTCACAAAGTTTTTCTTTGCCATATTTAATTATTTTTAGTTGTTGTAATGTTACTTTGTAGGTTACAAATCAGTGCAATAGGCATGTTTAATTTATTGTTATCAACAACTAATTTAGGAGTTTCTTTCTGTTGTCCACAACTACTTAACTGAGAAGACTGCAATGCTATTCATCATTGAACCAAGGTTCTCCTTCATCACAATAAAGGGATAGAGACTGGATTATTCAGATTATCTAGGACATTCAGCTAGACAGTGGAAGAGATAAACACAGTGAAATGTTACTTGCCAATATCTGCATTGAACTTTTATTATCTAATTTTCTTCCCTTCAATTACTCAAGGAAGCCTGTTTTTACACCTGGTTCATTCAGACCAGGCAAATCAAAAAGAGAAAAGTGTATAGGAATAATGATGTTTCCTCCACCCAACCCACTAGGCCGGCAGTTAACCATCTTCAACACCCAGGCGCAAATAGCCATTGGTGGAAAGGACAAAGGACGCCTCTTCCAAGGCCAGCTCTCTGGGCTCTATTATGATGGTTTGAAAGTACTGAACATGGCGGCTGAGAACAACCCCAATATTAAAATCAATGGAAGTGTCCGGCTGGTGGGAGAAGTCCCATCAATTCTGGGAACAACACAGACAACTGCCATGCCACCAGAAATGTCCACAACTGTCATGGAAACCACCACCACAATGGCTACCACCACAACCCGCAAAAATCGCTCAACAGCCAGCATTCAGGTAAGCCTTTCTCTAACCGTTGATTGATTTTCTTTTTTGTCTTTGAGACATTGCTGTTATGGTCAGGGCTGCTACACAGTGAGAGAGACTGAATTACTATGTGTATAGGAAGGATGCGTGCAGATATTCAGAGTAATAAGACCCAGAAATGGAGAAAGACAAAGTGTCTGCTGAAGAAGTTACAGAATCTCAGGTGCATTCATGGATTATTATTCCTACATTTATTATTCAAAATGAGCGATGCACAACACCTTTAGTGTAAAACGCTCTTTCCTCTTATTTTATTACCTTTCTTCTCAATAACAAAAAGAGAAAAGGGGGAAAGGAAAATTTGGTATCACAGGGAAAACTGTATTCTAGTTCAGTTCTGTTCACATCCCCCTCATGCTGCAACATGAGTCATTCATATTTGAAGCTAATAGGTAGCATTACATCAGTTGAAGCTAGAGGTTCAACTAATCCTGATTAAATGCAGTCTTTGTATTTGATATTCAGTGGTTGATTAATTACATGTTATATTTTGTCCATGTTGTTTCCTTTATATTTGACCAAGATCCTAACTGCATTAGAAAATTTGAAGGTCTGAATTTAGCTATCTAAGAAATCCTTATTCTGTGGTAATGTTTTTGTTTTTTTCCCTTAAAAGTAATTATACTCAAGCTAAAACTTAATGCTTTGCTGACTCCCTTGGCATTTCATAAATCTAGTTAGTAGGGGGTAGAAGGTTAATCGAGTTATTAGCCTTAAATGCTCTGACATAAAATAAGACGTTCCAATTGCTTGTGGGGAAATTACCCCTAGCCTAGTTAGTGTTTGTAGAAAATTCATCAGAAACCAGTACTTTCCTTTCCGTTTCTTAGTTTTAAGACGTTATCCAGGAACTCAATGGAGTCTTTAATACCATCCTTCCATTGACTTCAGGGGGCATTGTAAACTTAAAGCCAATAATCAATAAACCCCCATGTGTTCTTAGTCTTCTGAATTAAGTTTATGTGCATTAAGTAAAGGTAAATGTGCTGTCGTCTTTTTTCCTTTTATTTGAGCAGCAATGTCCAGACAACTCTTCCATGACTCCACAGTCATGATTTGAAGCTGCATGCACTGTTGATATTATCAGGCCAATTTTATGTTTCAGAAAGGCTACGAGAACCTGGTTAGCATAACAGTCTCAGAGTCCCACGTGCTGTTTTGTGCATACCTACACAGATGCTCAAAAAATGGCTTTTTCTCTGATATTAAAGCAATAACTCCTGACACTTCATTCTACTCACTGCAAAGAAGATAAAAGGCAATAGATATTTCTATTATGACTCTCTATAGCTCAAGAGCAGATCTATTTATTGTTGGTGAAAGCATAGTTCTGTCTGCACAGGTCTTGGCAGACTTGTTTTGTTTCTGTCAGAATACATTCCACTAACTCTGTGGGAAGCAGAGGAGAAAATGGCTTTTTCTTCATAGCAATGGCTGGTCCTATAGTCTTTTTCAAGGCCAAATTGTCACTGACCTCAGGAGGATTTAATGATACACTAGATCCAGGGACTAAGCCATGGTAATTACTAGGTTTTTGGCTTTTTCTTTTTCAACGAATGCATAAATGGAAGCAGATTGGGTGAGTCTTCCCACACAGTGAGGGAGCCAGAGCTTCTGGAGAAATGTAGGGTACAAAGCACCAAAGTCTTGCCAGTGATCATGACCCTAAATATCATAGAACCTGTTCTCATTTTGGAGGACATGGACAGCTGGAAGATGTCCTATACCAGCCTCTTGTCTGGTGTGTGTTTCTTTTCCTCTGAGTCCAGTAATAATTGGATTACATCTACATGTTTTCCCTTTTGCTTCCACCAAGGCTATAGAAGTGAGTTATAAATCTGTTGATGCTTTTTGTTTTTAAAGGTGTATAAATACATGCTCTTGGGGGAAAGCCAACAGACTAGCAGAATTGAATTAGGCCGAGATGAGGTATAAAAAAGTCCCATGTTCTGTGGAAGACCAGCTAGGGGAAATAACTTTATTTCAATGGTTTTGGATGTTTTTGTTCTTGCCAATAAGCCATAAGAACTCTGTCATGGCCTCTGTAAAAACCCAATAGCCTGCCTTGTCTGCAAGCCTATTCTGATTTCAAGCACATTCTATAGACCACATCAAGCCTATTGTAGACTTTGGGTGAAGAAGATCAGTCTCAGAAGCGCTAATATGCCCTGTGTAATCTAGTGAATTTCCTTGGATAAAGTGGACCCATAAAGCTTTGATCTCTAGGAAATACTTCAAAAAGGGGGAAAGGGAATTGGCAAAGACTGAATTTCACATTTATTAGGCCCATCACTCGCTTTTCTCAACAATACTCTGTTCTGTCCTCCTTTGCTCTGATGACATTGATGGAGCAGGATTGTCCTAAAATGAAGATCTCCTAGGATAAACAGAATAAGGATGTGAATTCAAAAGCATTAAATCCTGGTTGTTCAAAAATCTACTGGTTCATTCTTAAAGCATATGTTAAGAAAACATAATTTGAGCAATTTTTTTCTGGTAGGCCTTAGGCAGCGTTGGCTTTCAATGAAAAGAAAACTGCAAAATGCTCAGTGCCGCCGTTAACTGTATCAATATGAACAAAAAGTTTTTGAGTCGATATGGCTCTCCTGTGAGCACTGCAACCTGAGAGGAACTGGTGCTTTGGCCTTTCTGATAATATCATTTGGTACAGGCTTGTGAATTTTGTGGACTCTGTTGAGTTACTAACATCTGTGGTTCCCAAGCATCAGGTCTTCACCCTATTTAAGGAGGATGTCTCTAGATGCTCCCTGAGTAAGAAAAATAACAATGATAATAAGATACAGAAAGCAGGTAGCTGGTTGATAATTCTCAAGTAAGAGTCTGGCACTTAGAAGGTGCTCAAGTAAGTGTTTTTGGAATAAATCAGAAAACAAGATAGGCTTTATTACATACCTCATCATCATCTAACAGCTAGAAGTGGTATGGCTTGTGGGAGGTTTTCCCTCCAGAATGATTAGTGTGCTTTGGACATTTTTTTTCCAGTGGTAAGGCTATAGCAGAATGATTAGATGGATATACTTGGAGTCAGATTTGCCTGGGTTTAAAATCTAGCTTTTTTTTTTCATATACCTAGGTGACTCTGGGCAAATCATGTAAGCTGTAGTTAACTACTGCTGTGAAACCAACTTGCCCATTAAACTTAGCGTCTGTCTCACAATTTTTGGAGTCAGAATTTGGGCAGGGCTCAGCAAAGCCATCTTTCTGCCCTATGTGGAGTTGACTGGAGTTGGTCAGTGTCTGCTCTGGTCTAGAAGGTCTGATGTCACTCACATGCCTTGTGCCTTTGCTTGGATGGGTGATCTGGAAACACTGGACTTAGCTGGGTCTATGTCCCTCTCCATGTAGTGTCCATGATTCTCCATGTGGTTTCTCAGTAGGACTTCTTTCATGGAGGCCCAGAGCTCCCAGAGAGAATTTTCTAGGAAATAGGAAGCAGAGATTGCCAGTTTCTTAAAGTCTGGGCCTGGAGATTGGCAGAGTGTCACATCCATCACCTCTATTGCTCAAAGCAGTCAGACATTTCTCACTTTCATGGAAGGAGGCAGAAGCCTCATTTCTCAATGGGAGGAGTAGCAAGAATTTGCATCCAACCTAAGTTTGCCACATTGTAAAATTGTGGAAGTAGGTTCTGGGAAAAAGGTACTATTAGTTCTTATAGTGTGTGGTGGTTGTGAGGATAACTAAATTAATATAAATTAAATATTTACAACAAGTATATCATGAAAAGTAAGACTGAATGTGTTTTAATCCTACCATAATATTCTATATCCAATATCTGGTATGCAAGTCAATACCCTTGCAAGCAAGAATCTACCTCAGAGAATGATGTTGTCTCTATTGATTGGCGTATCTGTAGTCCAGAGTGGAGTTTAGTAGGGTAGGGATTTGAAATGGAGTTAGAGTAGAGTTTGAAGGCTGAAATTAGTGCTAGCAGATAAAAGTCTCTAAGATCTCAAGTCTCTAATAACCCACTACCGATCTTTAACTTTCTTTTCCATTTTCAAACAAAGTTGGAGTTCTATGGGTCTGGTAGATTATGTTCTGCTATGAAATATGTCTTCCCACACATATTTTCAGGGTTACAAAGAAAAGGAATTCACAATCTTTGTCATCATGGAGCTTATAACTGTAAAGAGAACAAGAGGGCTTGACATGGTTTATCAGTATGAGGAAGTGACTTACCAATGGTGGTGTGTTGGGCCTGAGGCGTGGTGTAGGAGATGGCCTGGCTGGATCTCATGGCCGAGGGAGGTATGGAAGTAGGTCCTGTAGATGAGTACAATTGGATACATGGTGAGAAGAACAAATCCCAGGTTGGTTGAATGTCGGAAGCTACATTGTCAAAGTCAGAGATGATAATTCCTGAGAGAGATAGCCAAGTCCAACTAGAGCAGAGAGAGCAGAGAAGATGGACTTGTGAAAGAGAAAAGATCTAGATTCTGGGGGTCTTGGCCTGAACCTCTGCCCACTCCTTGCTGCCTCACAAAATGGGAAAGAACTGGATTGGGTTCCCACTGGGTCTTACTACCAGGGATATCCAACAGTTGTGCGGGCATTTCTATTATATTATAGCCGGCCCCAATATCAGCGGGTTACTGTCATGGCACTTATAGGTCAGCTTCTAAAACAGAAATATTTAACTCAGTCTGCACTCAAATTCCTTTGTCCTTATATAGTAAAGAAGGCAAAAGTGAGAAACAGGAGTTGTTTAGTGATAACTTTCAGCCACCAAGACCAGAATGTTCCTGTGAAAGAGAAAAAGGCCAAAAAGTTCCAAGGATAATGTGTTCTCTAACCTGAGGCCTCCAGACCAATTTGTTATCATTAAAGAAAGAACTCACGTATTCTGTTAAAATCACCATTTGGAATCATTTATAAGCTATTAGCAGGATACCGATCATGACGCATTTGTCTGTATGTGTGTTGAGCACTGATAAAGCCACTTTGAC